CCCCATATAGGTTTAATTATTTTAATTAAGCTATACCTTTAATATTAAATAAACTGCTTAATTATTCCAAGTAAAAAAAATAATAAAAATTACCATAGATTTGACAAACAAGTTTATTTAAACCCAATAACAGTTTAATTATTTTAATTAAGCTAAAGTATTAATACTAATAAAATATTTAATAAATATAAGTGTCTTGTTTAATAAATCTAAGTGTCTTGTTTAATAAATCTAAGGTTTTATGCTTAATAAATGGTATTAAGTATTTTTCTAAAAACGTATATAATAAGTTTAATAAAAACAATTAAACGTTTCAGGAATATTTTTATTCCTAAATGTATTAAACGGTTTAATTGTCCCATATGGTATTAAAATTCTTATTTAAATGAATTAAAATTTTAATTAATTTAATTATTTCTTTCTCTCAGTGTACGTATTCTATAATTTTTGTTAAGTTTTTTTATAAACAAAAATGAAAAATTGTAGTAAAAGTTACGAAGAAATTCATGAAATTTAACTAAGGACCGGTTTATTCATCTTTAGTAAAGTTTATCGGGCCGATAACTTTCATGTCTTGGCAATATCTAGTATCCAAAGAAATTATTCGTCAAAGAAATCAAAAATGAATAAATCGGCCCTAAATAAAATGTGGCACCCTTAGAATTATTGTTTTATAAATGTATACTATACATTTAACCTTAAATTAAAACTTTAAACGTGTATTACAACAAAACAGTAAAAGATATCAAAAATGTATAGACCTTTTTTAAGGAAATTAATCAATCTTTAATCTGATTTAAAAAGTTATGATAATATTTAAGTAAAATCGCAAGTTTTAATTGGAGAATTGAAAGTGTGCATACATATTTTTAATAAACATCAAATTAAAACAAAATTAACCGTCAAATTTTTTTTATTTTGCTCTTAAAATTTAAGTTATGACCTAATTAACAAGAATATAAAAAAATAGGTTTCACAGAAAGTCCAAAAATCACCTCTCAGAACAGCACCGTGCTTTGTTATTTTGAATAACCCTTCCATTTATTTTTATATTTTTAAATTCTACATAAAATGCTAAGTAAAATCACTTTTACATGTCATATACCTAATGTGAATATTTTTCGAGTTATTAATTTTTTTCGATAAAATTTGACAAATGCGCGCCAATCAAAAGTAGCCTATAACTTTATTGTTATTGAGTTTGCGGATATGGTGGTAAAATTTTTGGAATCTTAAATGTAACACCCATACCGGGTTTTTACATAATCAAATAGTAAATTAAAAAACCTTTTAATTAAAGTAACTATTCCCTATACCTACAGTTAATAATTTCAGAGATTTTTAACAATTTCTAAAATTTTAAATATTATTTTGTATCAAGAGACCTGTGACGGGTGAGTTGACGGAATCTATGGTTACCACGTAATCTGTCATTGTTCAAAATTTAATGACGTAAATTTTTCAAGTCGGTAAACAATTTGCTGACTAAGTTTTTTGTAAACAAAATTACTGATAAAATAGCAATTAGTGACTATTAAAAAAATAGAGAAGCCAAACAATTTTAAAAGTAATACAAACAGTATTTGCTAATTTTGAAAAAAAACATCAAAACTGTAGGATGCATGTCAACTAGATGAAGCACTAGCTCATTGGAGACAATAAAATATAAAACTTATTTTACAAAATATTTAAATAAGAAAAATAATTTAATAAACCAACAATATTTTATTTAGGATCAGAGCAACGTTTAATAAAAAAGTAAAAATAAAGAAATGCTTGAATGTAAATTGAGGATACCTTAAAAACATTTTATAATAAATTAGTAAAAATATATTATGAATCAAGTTTTATAAACGCCATTTTGGTTACGAGTTACATTACACACAAATGTGAAACACCCTGTACTTTAACAAAGGAACTTTGATTATATAAAAAATAAATTATACATATAAGTCCCTTTAAAAACAAAATGATACCATTGAGTCAGATGTTTACTCAATGATGATACTCAAAACAACCACGCGTGTCAATATTTTTAACTAAGATAAAAATAAATTAAAAAACAGTTTTTCTTAAATACCTATTTATAATAGGAACCAACCTAGTTTAAATACTAATAAACCAAAATATAGGGATTTGATATGACTCGGTATGGTATGGTTACCCTTAATTGTAGTGGTAACCAGAGGTTGGTGTGTGGTTGAAAATATAAACATATATAATATATTATAATATATATAAACATATTTATTAAATTGTCTCGCTAAAATTAAAATAGATGTGTAAAAGGCTGTTTTATTTTTTTACATAAAACCTAAAAAAAGGTAGTGGATACTTTTCATTGCCCGCCCTGTATGTATAAATATGTAACTTTCTTTTAAATAGGTACATAGTTTTCATTACTGTCTCTGTTGAACTCCCTTCAACTAACTAAAATAATTAAATTTCTATCTTTTGAGTTAAATTAATAAAAGTATTTGATTAAATAAATATATTTATTAACACATTGCGTGCCACGTGTATATTTGGAAAGTATCCTAGGGGGCCATAAGCGATTATTGCTAAATCTTTGTTCAAATGCGGTTAAAATAGTAATTTTCCGAATTTGCTCGAACCAAATATACCAAAATGTTCGTGGCAGTCCACAAATTAATAACCCATAAGATAAAGCGTGTAGCGTCTAGAATATCTGCAAGACGCGGCCTGGTAGTGAATATTGTATGTCTTGCATATATGACAGACGTGGCCCCTCAGAAAGTAGCACTGTCTGTCACATATGTCAGACGTGGCACGCAATGTGTTAATAATGTTATTATTAAACTTTTTGCGGAAGTTGGTAAATTTAATCTTGTCTATATAGACGCCAGATTGTTTAAAATTAATAATAAAGAGGAGATAAGGATTGTTTTTCTATAGTGTTTGATAAATCAAAAATGCAAAATTTACAAGATTTTCTCAATGATTATTAATTATAATTAACTGAATAATAATTGTAACTTTTTTAATTATTCTGTTATTTTTTTTTACTTTTATCAGGTTTATTTTCAATTAATTAAAACTTCATATTTCAGTTATTTCTCTCTCTTGAGTATTAAAATTTACTTTGTTGAATTAAATTGAATTATAATTGAATGTTTTCAAAATTTCCAAATAAATTTTATTTTGTGGCCTCAATTAAGGCGTGTTGGAATAACTTTGTATCTTTTTAAGTCAAATGAAATTAAAATTTAATGTTTAAAGATTTTTAGATAAATTTAATTGATGGATGTCGCCATCATCCGTCATCCGTATATACTTAACACAGTTTATGGTCATCCGATGATAAAATAATTAATTCTGTAATTTTAGATCGTTACAATTTTTTTTTAAATTGTAGGTAAATGTTTACTACATACCAAAAAAATTAAGAATGAAAATTTTTTATTACCTACAGTTGTAAACCTTTTAATTAGTTTTAAGAATGAAATTTTGTTTAATAAATGCTTAATAATAGTAAAGACCCGAATAGTAAATACCAAACTAATTATTACAGCTAAATCATTTTTAACTGGCACTTAATTTAATTAAGTTAAGTGAGCAGGAAATCACAATTGCGAGTTTTTAAGAAACTGAACTCGTCTGGCCTATTGCCAGTGTTGCCCGTCAAATATGGCGGAAAAAAAATTGACTTGACGGATAAAAATGGTTTTAGCGGATAGCGGATTTTTTAGCGGGAAGTATTAAAACTTCCGGCGGATAACAGTTGCAAAAACCGCTAAAAAAGTATTAAAAAAAATAACTTAGTTTCAAGTTTCTAAAGAGTTGGCGAAACCTATTAATGTTTGACATTTGCACTTCGAATGAAATTGTCGGTAAAACAGTGCGCAATAAGATAAACTATCTTAATGCGCACTGTTTTACCGACAATTCCTAGTATCAAATGTCAAACATTAATAAGTTTTGCTAGGTGATTTGAAATAACTTATTTCTACGAGTTTCGCCAACTCTAGTTATATCTCTAGTTAAAGACATCCCATTAAAGTGTGTGTAGAAGAGGAGATGAAAGATGAAAATTTTAACAGAATGTCCAACAAGTATACCCAATGACTACAAAAATGTTTATTTTTTTAACAATTAATAATTAAAAAGTATACCATCGTAATATGACTGCAAATTTTTGTGGGAGGAAAATAATTTTAAGTACCTAAAAAGAATTAAACCGAGAATAAGAAAATACAATATATTTTTTTATTATTCCAAAAATAATTTTAAATCTGGCGGATTTTTAGCGGATTTTCAGTTTGCCTTCGGCGGAAACTACTTTCAGACTGTTGGCAACACTGCCTATTGCTACAAAACTGTTACAAAGAGAAGATTGTTTTAAAACCACATCTAAAAACTGTTATTTATTAAATAGATACAAAAGTATCTATTTAATAAATAACAGTAATTAGTTGTAAAGACAAATTTATTGTTATTAGTTGCATAAAATGTTACATTTGCTTTATCTCACTCTTGTCTCACTTAAAACCGCAATGATGTTAATTATGTGTGACCCACATTTTCTGTTTATTTGTTTTGTATGACTCACAAGTACTTGAAATCCGATTTAATTGTGTTATTATTTAATAAGATTTGTTTTTAAGAAAGATAAACCTATACCACACATCATTTGTTTTTATTTAATTTATTGCTATATATAATCTTGATACATGATATATGGGTTAAACCCTTATTCGCCAAAAAGGGTGTAAATATGTAAAGAACAAGTCATAAATAAAAAGGCATTATGGTGTAGTAATAAATAACGCCATGTTGTAATAATAAAAGGGAAAAGGACGTGAAAATGTGCATAAAAATGCATCCGGCTTCTTAAACATAGCAGGACATTTAATAAGCATATTTTTCAAATGAGACTCGTTTTACATAGCTAATATTAACGTAAATAAATCTGCGCTAATAATTCTCCAAACTTATCAAACATATTAGCTAAAATTGTTGATTTAGTATGCTATGCTTACCTTAACTAAATTTTTCATCACAGGACTATCCATTAGTCCTTTAAGGAATATTAAATCAGTCTCGTTAATTCCGTTATGTCCGTCAAGATCGTCTATATTTTCTCTTACATGTTGGAATGCAGCTAAAAAAGATAAAGGAAAGTTTATAAAAGTCTTGACAAAACTAATGAAGAACAAAAACTTTTAAAAACACTTTTTCAACTTTTAGATAGTTGACTCGTTCCATCATTTTTCAGCAAACTTGGAAACTTTGAAAAATTAGGTTTGGCAATGTTGTCCGGTTTGCGTCAAAAATTACTAAATCAGTCTCGACTTTTTCAATTGTAAATTATTCTGTTTTAACTAAAAATAATATTTAATTGTACTTTTCCTAAAAAAATACCAATTGTCATAATAAAAATGTTATTTTTTTAATTTAAAATATTTTTAAGCGTACAATAATTTTCATATTATAACACTCATAAGTCTATAAAGAAAGACTTCATATTAATACTACTTCAAAAGTCAAATTATTATTAAATTTCGTACACAAATAAAGCTAAAATGTCATCATGTTATTTGAACCTAACCTAAAAATGATGACAGAATCACGGCCTTCCATAAGACCGTGGACAGCTCGGTGGACAGTATCTCAAGAAATATATTATTTAAATTTAATTTAGGTATGATTTCAAATGTCCATATCCTACCACAATAGTGGTAAAAATTGACATTTTTAGATTAAAAGCTAGCATTCAGCACAAAAAAAATTACGTTTGTGATGACATAGTAAACTTTAATATAAGCATTTATCTTTAAATTCTGAAACTTTAAATCAAATGTGCAACTTTGGTTATTTGCTAAAAAATGATAGTCTCAGACTGAGACCCTCAGCTGTATTTTATACAGAGTAGAAGTAATTTTTTGACAGTTTTTGGTTTTAGAGTTTATATAATTATAATCATTTCGGTAACGCATAATCGTTTAAATATAATAAACTTAACAGTTACGTAATTAGAAACAATCAAAACTAATTTGGAAAAACTGAAAACCCGTCAAAACCAAAAATCGTTATTCCTGGAATTTTAAAAACAAGTACCTAAGTTTTACATGTATGTTTATACACATGTATCTACATTTTCATACAATTTGGTGTTTTTTTTGCCTACTAGTTTCTGGGTTACCACTACCACCATTTTTTATTTTTCCTTTTGACCACCATATTAAAATTTTACATCGTTGGAGAGAAAAAAAAGGAATCCAATGATGTATAAGCTATGTCGGCCATTATAAAAACAAAAAAATGATGATGGTAACTCAAAATATAGTAGCGAGGAAATTGGGTAAAAATGTAGATAAATTTATACAGCGTGACCCATTTGTTTGTGACACCCCTGTAAAATATTTATTTATGTGTCGCAACCAAAAAGTTCTTCCTTTTTCAAAACGATATAACTTTTTTGTTCCTTGAACGATTTTATTTTGGTCTGTGATGTCTGCTAGCCCCATCCTCTGGCAATTCATAGATATGAAACTCACGGTTCTTCAAGTAAATTTTGTACAAAGATTCAATAACTAAAAATAAAAATCGTATTATATTAAGATATTTAACAGCCGGGAATTGTTTTCGATCTTGATTCTTGGTGATTTTGGTTTTATCTCAATCTTAAATTTGACAACTGAATCATAATCAGGAGGTCAAAATTATGATGAAAACATGACATGTCACGAACGTAAATATCGGTTTAGGTTTAGTTTTCGCAAATTTTCACCAAAATGTTATTTTGAAAAAGTGGTTTTTGCTTAGGCCCTCTGAAAATAATGGAAGTTTGTTGCTTGTCGCTTGTTCAGAATTATTAAAGGAACAATCTTTCACCATCTTATCTTCTTGTTCCTAAAAAGACTGAGACTGCCTACAAAAAGTCTTAAATGTACTCTTTTGAAAAAAAAATCATACTTTTGTTGCTAAGATTCCAATTCGAAAAATTTGAAAAACGTTTCAAGGTAAGACTTCATTATTTCAAAGTAAAAACGAGAAAAAAAATATTTTTTTACAAACGGGGCTTGGATATAGTTATTGAAATTTTTCACCCTTTAACATATCACCCCGTAGGAAATTTACTTGAAGAACCTAGAGCTTCATATCTATATCATGAATTGCCAGAGGATGGGACTAGAAGACATCACAGACCAAAATAAAATCGTTCAAGAAACAAAAAAGTTATGTCGTTTTAAAAAAGAACGAACTTTTTAGTCGCAAAACATTGAGTGGTGCGTTTATTTATAAAAATTTATTCTTTCAAGTTACCCATGAAAAAAACATTGAAATAAAATTAAATTAATAGTATCATAGTATAAATATTCCTATGCTTAGTTTTGACAAATCAAAAACGCAATAGAAACCTAAAACAACATAAAACAAATAATAGAGAATTCAAAAAATTCTCTACAATTACATTTTCGCCACCTCTTCTCGTTTTTATATAAATTTTGTTACCTCTGTTATTTATGCCCGAATAAAAATATTTTTTAGAGTTAAGTTTAATATCTATAATTTTGCTGTTAAATATTTTTAATTTGGCCATAAATAATAAAAATTAGGTATATTTAAAAACATTGTCTATTATGAGTAGTATGAGTAGTATGTTGTATATTAACTATGGTTTCGCGCAAAAATTGAACAAATTTTGGACATTTGTTTGCAAGTGATGCCAGAATTGAATATATTTTTTTTACCTTGTTTCTACATCTAAATGGTACATTTTTTTTAAATAAAAATTTCATCCATTGACCGCTGTGGTTTTCATGCCTTAAGTCACTCTACTCTGTTAAAAATAGATAAATTTCAATATTTTGTAATAACATTTTTATTAAAAACGTATCGATTTGAAATTAAGAGAAAATGTAGACCTTATTAGTGGCAATAAATCCACGTATTATTTTTTTTTTAGATTTTAACATACAGGAGGCGCTGGGAACAATTTAATTTAAAATTTTACCATTTTTAAGGGTAAAAAGTCAAAGAAGCAACGTTGTTTTATAATTCTGAGTAAATCCCGTTAAAGTACTGATAATTAACTATTATTTGATATATAAACTTCTACATGCAAATTATGTTTCTATACGAGAGACACCAAGTTAGGCCTTCAAAGAGCATAATACTAACGTGTTTTACAAATTATATATTTTTTACCTAGTTTTATAGGATAATGTATTATATATTACATATAATATATTAATTTATTAAAATGAATAAACTAAATAATAATTATAGACAGTATCAACAAGTTAGAAATTATAACCTACTTTAATTTTATTTTTTGCTCCACAACCAAGCTTCAATTTATTTTTTCCTCGATAAGCAAGCTTCAATTTTAATTCCAAACTGAGGAAAGTAATATTTACCCAATAAATAAATTAGAATAAAGACTTTATTTTTTATGTTGCAATCGGCTATTTAGATATATTTATATTTTTTATTCAGTTGTTTTTCGATTTTTTGTAATTATTTATTTTGCATTTTTTTATATATAATAGGGTGTTTCTAGAGAAACGCAAACGATATGGATTTGAAATTTTAATAGCATATACAATTTGATTTAGACTAACCCTAAAGTCAATAGTTTTTAGGATATTAATTTTTTTATTAAAATTTTGCTAAATGCACGTTTATCAAAAAAATTTTTGTTATTATGTTTGCTGAAATGGGGTTGGAATTTTTGGAATTATCTTTCGATTGGTATTATAATAACTGTTTCCTAAAGTTAAAAAGAGACATTTAACAATTTCTAATATTTTCAATGCTATTTTGTATCAAAAAACTGTGAATTTCTACATGTGGTTTAATTTGACAGTATCCATGGTTACCACCAAATCAGTAATTGTTTAAAATATTTTATTGAAAAATTTATAACTAAAAAAATATTGACTTTAGGTATAGGATATGGTATAGCCATTTTAATCACAATTTTACGTAGAATTAAAAAATGTATATGATGTTTAAAATAACAAAGTTAAAGACATTTCCGGTAAAACAGGAAGTATTATTTTGTTCAAAATAATTTAGGAAAAAAGTCTAAAGCGAATAATTCACGCTATTAAAATTTTAAATCGATGTCTTTCCCGATTCCCTAGAAACTTTTAACGGACTACGTACGTGAAACACCCTGTATATTAAACGTCATTTATGTGTTATGCTATACTTAACTATTAATAAAAGATACAACAATATTTGTATAAACATGACAAAATGTAATAAACTAAACATTTATGAATACTGCTACTGCTAATTCAAAACTGATCCTGGCCACAGAAGCATAAAAAAGTTAATTTATCAAATAATAGACAAATATCAATACTTTAACGTGTTATACTCAAATATGATTCTTCAATTATTTACCCTTTAAAAATTGTTAAATTTGAAATTAAATTATCACCAGTGCCCCCTGTACGTTAAAATCTAAACAAAATTTTAGTAAGATCTACATTTTGTCCAAATTTCAAATCGATACGTTTTGAAACCAAAAAGTTATTTTCATTTTAAACACAGTGAAGAAAAAATAAAATAAAAACCAAATGTCAATGAACGAGATTTTTTTTTTTTTCAAAGTAATGCATTTAGATGTAGAAATAAGGTAAAAAAGTTTTAATCGATTTCTTGAACCCTTGCACATCGACCGTTCGATCCTTTCGCGAAACCGTAGTTCATGTTTTAATATTTTTTCAAAATACCTACATTGTATTTTTATAATTTGCTAACAATTACAAAAGGAAGCTAAATAATTCAGGTTCATGTTGGGCTACCTGATGAATAAGGAAAATATGGAGATGCTTAAAATACCTTGAAAACTTATTATACATGAACAACTAATACCATTAGGGATTACATTTTAATGCAAATAGCAAAACCCTTTTAACAAAATTTTTTAGTTTCTTGCGGAAAGTTAAAGCATTTACGTGCCGAAAGTTAATGGTTTTCGTATTTAAATTACCTTAAAATAGGCTTTTTTTTAAGCGAAATGAAAATACTTTCTATTTTAAATGAAACGCCTTGAAATTTTAAATATTTAATTAAAACATCAACTCCACGTGCAAACTGTGTTTTTAATACCTCAAAAATAAAGGAAATTGTTGTATTAGAAGT